TATCAAAGACCCTCTGGCTTTCTAACATGTAGACCAGTCGCCTGTTTATAAGCCTTTCATAAGTTTTCCCAAGGCAGCTTGTGAGTGCAATTGGGCGATAGCTTGATGGTTGTGAGGGGTCTTTGTTAGGCTTTAGGAGAGGGATGATATGTGCGTGTTTCCAAGCCTGAAGGAAACATGCCTTTTCCCACAAAAGATTAAAAAACAGGAGAAGGTTTTCAAGGGATTTTGGAGAAAGGTGGCGCAGCATTTCATAATGAATTCCATCAGGACCAGGGGCAGAAAGCTTTGTCACATTAAGAGCCATCTCAAGCTCGCATCGCGTAAATGGTCGGTTATACGATGCCGAGTTTCCTCCTGACATGACAAGCTTTTGTCGTTCCGCACGAGCTTTTAACTGTCCGAAAGTAGCACTGTAGTTGGCCGAACTAGATGAATTATAAAAATGTTCCCCGAGTATGTTACCAATATGTTTTAGAGACGAAGAAGGAGCATTAAATGTTGGAATGGCAAAGCACCTGTAATCCCCATTTACTTTCCTGTATCTGTCCCAGGCCTCCTTGGCTGGGACAAAGCTGGTTAAAGAAGAGAGATACTTCATCCACGACTTCCGCTTTGCCTGCTTCCTAGTCCAACGAGCCTTGGCTTTTCGTCGCTTGAACTCAACAAAATTGCTTGAAGTGGGGTATCTGCGAAATCTGCCCCACGCCCTATTTTGGTCCGCCCGGGTTGTCGCACACTCCTTATTCCACCAAGGTTTACATTTCTTCGGTATATTACCAGATGTTTGTGGAATGGACTGCTGAGCAGCCTTTAGTATCTGCTCAGTAACATAAAGTGTAGCGTTCTCAGGGGACATAGACGAAAGAAGCGAAGGATCTAAAGTGGAGTGAAGATTAAAAAGTGCCCAGTCTGCCTTGTCTAGCTTCCACCTAGGAACCCGCTTTAAAAGATTAGGCAATGGAACGGTACTTTCTAAAACAACTGGATAATGATCACTTCCAAAAGGGTTATGAAGAACCTTCCAGGAGAAGCAAGGAAGTAATGAAGGTGAAGCAATTGAAAGGTCAATGGATGTGAATGTGTTGTGTGCCGCACTAAAAAAAGTTGGCTCTCTCCCGTTAAGAAGGCACAGCCCAGAAGACAATAAAAGACGTTCAATTACACCACCACGGGAGTCCTGACGGATACTACCCCACATGGGATGATGAGCGTTAAAATCACCTAAAATTAAAAACGGTTGAGGAAGCTGTCCTACAAGTCCCTGCAGCTCTTGAATATTCAAAGGAACATTTGGTGGTAAGTATAAAGAAACAAGCGTTACAAGGCGGTCCACGAGGAGACGCACTGACACAGCCTCCAGAGGTGTGCGGAGCGGAACTTGAGAGCAAGCGACTCCTCTCTGCACAACTACTGCAACGCCACCAGAAGGAGTGGAAGCGGGACGGTCTTTCCTAAAAACCTGGTGACGTCTTAAAATGTTAAAAGAATTAGAGTGAAGATGGGTTTCTTGCAAGGCAAGAGCGATGGGTCAAAGATCATCCATGAAATGGGTGACATCATCAATATTCCTTAAAATACCGCGACAGTTCCATTGCATAAAATGTAACTTCGTCATCTATTAAAAAAGTGTGTAAATATGTAAATATAAGATAAAACCTAGAAAAATAAATAAAGCTATGGAGAGCCAACTCGAGCTAGGTGGAATATGTGACCACAATACGGCAGTTATTGGGGTCATCACTTGGGCGCTACTACAGGTTACTTCTTTTTAGATTTACGAGAAGCTGTCTCCCATTCCATACCATCCTGGTCGGACCCAGGAGTAGACTGACTGTCAGCATCAGTTGGTATCTCCATGTCCTGGGAAGTGTCCGATGGATGGAGTATGACGGAGCTGGTCCGGCCTGGCACGCGCGGGGGAAAACCCCGGCCACGACCGGAAGGAGGAGTGGCGGACGAACTGGGCGAGGGGTCACCCAAGCTCGTCTTTCACAGGAGCTGCAAGGGTACCATGCTGCTCCTTCAGTAGGGGGACCCTCTCCACCAAGCAGGAGCGAGAAGCTCGCTCCTCCCTAGGAGGGGACCTAGGAGAGGGGGAAGGCGCGGCTGCTGCCGGCCTGCCCTTGGATGGAGGGGCAGCACGCGTGCCACCACCAGGGGCTGGGTAAAGCTGCTGCTGCCCCTGTTGGGGAGCTGGGGCCCTGCGGTCGGCCGCCAAGATCTCGGGAGAGACCTGGGTGGCCCTCGACTCCGAGCGTGTTGCTGGGCCCCTGCGCACCACGTCGGCAAAACTCCCCTTTGACACAAAGGAGAATCGCTTCTTTGCTTCTGAATACGATAGGTTCTTCACTTTAATGGTAAGGACGTCTTTTTCTTGTCTAAACGACGGACAGGTACGATAGTAAGCGGGGTGTGGTCCACCGCAATTAACACAGTGGGCCACAGCCTCCTCACAAATGTCAGAAACATGGCCCTGACTGCCACACTTTGCACATGTCTCCTTTCCTCGGCAGCTGCGTGCTCCGTGACCAAAACGTTGGCAACGGAAGCACCGCTGGGGGTTGGGGACGTAAGGGCGAATGCGGCAGTTCAGATATCCTGCCTTGACGGTCTCAGGGAGTATGTGCTTTTCAAAGGTCAGAATAACATGTTTGGAAGGAACCTGTTCACCATTTTTCCAAAACATGATGCGTTTAACAGCAACAACGCCGGAACTTTTGAGTCCCTCGAGGAGTTCTTCACTTGTGTCCAGAAAGTCGTCCTCAGAGAGAACTCCAGGAATGGTGTTAAGTGTGCGATGAGGACTCACCGACACCTTTACGTCAACAATGGTGGTTAGGTTGAGGAGTGCTTCGCTTTGTTTTTTTGTGTTTACTTCCACAAGGAGGTCTCCAGAGTACAGTTTTTTTGCCTTGTAGGAAAACCCTACAAGGTGCTCTAGAACTTTGGCTACAATGAAAGGTGACATCTTTGCAACTGACTTCTGTTCATCAAGAGAATGAACAACAAAAAACTTTGTGAAGGATTCTACCTCGGGATCTTTGTCAATGGTTTTGTGTTCAAGGCAACGCCTTTTAAGGGCGTGCCCTGAACGGGGTTTAGAGGGGTGGGGCGCCATAGAAGGGCAAAGAGTGTTCGGAATCCGCGGTGCACCGCCCACCACCAAGCCCAACAAGGGGTTAGGTAACGCACCATAACAAGATGAGCTTGGCTGGAGACGTTACACTAACAGTGCTGCCGGGAAACTATACCCAAGTGTGGGTCAAGACAGAGGTCTATTGCCACCCAAGGTTAGCCCTTGCCACCAAAGAGGGGTGAAAAAGGAGTAAGAGAAATGAGAGAGAAGTAAAAGAGACAGGAACGGTAAAGGTGAAAGATTGGAGGGGATAGTAGAAGAAAAGGCGACTAGACTGAATCATCCTGGCCGGGCCTTACCAGGACTCCCGTCTGCGAGAAGCAGACGGGAGTCCAGTGTTGTTGCAGACAGTGTTGAAATGTGTGCATAATCTTAAAACGACTTCCTAGACAGTAAATGTATCCTTTGGTTCAAAGGCACGCTTGAAGATTTATGTACATACATACACTATATGCAGAACACAAAGCTTGAAGGTGTAGTGTCGTCGGATCATTACCGGCTCACAGCTAGTGCCACCTGGCCTGAAAAAAATGGACCTGTTAGGTCAGGACTAGGACAGAGGCAGAAGAAAAAAGAAAGGATCGAGCCAGGACATAGGGACGGTCATGAGGTATATTAATAAAAGATTGTTAATCGGTTGCAATCCGGCTTTGGAGTACATGCATCACGACGCCTGAACCGAGGCCAAGACACCACAAAATCTGGCAACAAGGATTTCGACAAAGTAAGCCCTACGCAAGGCCTTCAGGAACCCGCAGCTCTACGCCAAAGAAAGCAAGCTCACAAAGAAGCAAAAGAGACTTGCTCCACAAGGGAAACGTCGGCAACGTCAAGTGAGCACGATGGACAACTTCTACCCACCCTGCCACCGTTCAGCCCGCATTGAGACGCAACGTCACTCGCGCAGAGGTGGACGAAATGGCATGCGTGTTTTGAGAACGTTCTACTGGCTGCCAACGTGAAAGATGCTGCCCACAAGTGCGTGATGCTGCTCCACTTTGCCAGTGAGGTGGTGTATGATAACTTTACCACACTATCTCACACGGGTACTGACTATGAAATGGCAGTCGCTCGTCTGACAGACGTTTCACTCCCAAAAAGACTGCGGTGTACGAGCACCACATTTTTTGTCAAGTGCAACAAGATGTAGAAGAAACAGACCAGTTTCAGTTAAAATTGCGAAGACTGGCCGCACCATGCGAATTCACGAACGCCGGGAAAGAGCTGGTCTCAACCCAGTTAAAAATATACCATTGGCTCCAATTAGGATATTCAATTGGAACCAACTGGAGTCAATGGAATTCAATTGGTTCTGGGTCATCCAACTGGTCATTCTAATTAGTTTCAATATTTCCAATTGGTTACACCAACTAGGAACAACAAAATTCAATTGGCACTGGGCCACCTAATTGGTCACTCTAATTGGATTCAATGTTTCCAACTGGTCATCCTAATTGGGATCAATAAAATTCAGTTGGCACTGGGCCACCTAATTGGTTACTCAATTGGATTCAATGTTTCCAACTGGTTATCCCAATTAGGATCAATAAAATTCATTCGGCACTGGGTCGCCTAATTGGTCACTCTAATTGGATTCAATGTTTCCAACTTTATGATTGATCTCCGATTGGGATCAATAAAATTCAATTGGCACTGGGACAGAACTTGCCATTATCTCTTTCCTCACAACAGTTTCCAAAGATCGCAATTTTTTTTTTTTTTTTTTCAGTATTGCGTTGCAAAAAGATTTTTCAATATCGCAATTTGAAAGGGGGAAAAAAATTCGTACACTATTTAGTAAAAAAAAATCTGTTTCTAGAATTGGTCGGAATTGCCGGAAGCGTCGGTGTACACTGGGCGGCAAAGATGGCGCCGCGAGGACGGAGGAAGCACGAAGCACATGGCGCCGATGGCGTGTACGGCATTCGTAGCATGGTTATGGCAATGATTCAAGAAAGTTTTTTGTTTTACTGCTGCAGAGTGCTCAATGGTGCGGTGATAATTACTTCATTTGACCTGCCAGCTTGTTAGAGCGGGAATGAGTGGCAACAAACGTTTATGGGAGCAAGGTAAGAAATTTTTTTTGTCCTTGCTGCGCTGCGGTTTGGGGATTTCGGATTGTTAGATCTGCTGAGACACTCGTTGTTTGATCTTCAGTGAACGATGCAAGCGTGAATATATAGCTTTAGGGAAGAAAATTTTCCGGGCAGCTATCAGTTCGGAAGTTGTTGGGTATCTGCGAGGAAAGTTAAGTGCGTTTTAAGCATCTCAAAACTAAACTATGAATTGCTGAAGACACTGAGTGGGCACAGTTTCAAAAATTAAAGCTTTGGAATTCAAAATTAAGCGATTTCGGGGGCATTTTCGATGAGTGGAAAGTGGGATGGGGGGTCGGTCGGTCGGTGATGTCGGGTCATTACTTCCGGAAGTTGACGACTTCTAATAAAATAACAGTAGGTGCCGAAAATTTTGCATCTATGTTTCAAAATTTACTCTGTCTCCACTCGGGGTAAGTTCAAAAACCTACCCGTGTCCAGCGTTGCCTCTGATCCATTCGAGTAAGATTTGGAACACAGCCTGCAATGCATGATTTCTTTTCGAGATACGAAAGACACCTATTTTTTCACCCATGCACACTTTAAGCATTTTTCAGGTGCACTGGCCAGCTTTACAGAGATCCCTTTGAATTGACTGTTTCTTCTCCTTATAGCAGAGATTATGTCTCACAGGCTCATAGGAAACATAGTAGTCTTAAAGGGATACTTCAACGAAATTTGAAATATTCCCGTCGTGTTCAAAAATAGGTTGAATATGATCCACAATATCCGTAAATGACAATCGCACGTTTGTATTTTGATCCTGGTGGCTGTATTTTTCGTTATAAACGGCCCACTCTGGTAAGCGCTCGGAGAAGGCCCAGCTTAGAGCACGTGACATGCAACGCAATCGTGACGTAGGTCGTCTCAAGACAAGCAAAGCTACGGCGAGGCTGACGTCGAGAGGATGGCCTAGTCGTTCGAGCCACCGAAGCGGCTGCTTTTGTACGAATTTTGAGTGACGGGTTAATCTTCTATAATCTTCTAGGGGGACAATAGAGACTTCTGCGACACACAAAAGGTATTCTCGGGAAGAGGGGAGTTCCTCCTTACCCCCTACTCTCGTCTTGTCCGGAGACGAGACAACTTCCGTCACTAGCTGTCAAGGTTCCTAGACGAGCATTACAAACGAGGCGTTAGCGACATCCACCAGGTGCTCTTTGCTAATCGTTTAATTCGTTTTAAAATTCCTTTTCGAGACTTTTTTAACAAGATATTGGTATGTTCCATGTGATACTGCTCTTTTGAACACATATAGACCAAAAAAATGAGCGCCGAAATTTCGTTGTAGTATCCCTTTAAACCATCCCAGATGCAAATTTAGCCCAGTCTCGGCAAAAGCTTCATCTCCTAATTTTGACCAGAGTGTTTCCGTCACCCAGGGATGTTTGCCTTTTAATGCAAGGCCTGCAGGTTTATTCCACTGCAACTAATTTCTTTGCAGCGAAAAAAAAAAAGTTTAGTATGTTTCTAAGCTTGATTTAAACATTTATAATCCAATAAGGTCATTTAATGCATATTTATCCTTTATTTTAGGGAAGCTGCAGCTGCTATCCTGGAAGAAAACGACGATGACTAGAAGCAAGAAATCATTTCTAATAAGTTAAATAAAGACTGTGTGATTATCTACCTTTAGATCTAGTTGCAACTTTTTCTAGTTTGGGATATCCAAACACTAATGGTTGTCCCAATTCATATCTGTCAATACGATTTGAACAGTTGGACCAATTGCTTTTTTCCTATTGGGAGTCCGAAAACAGAAATAGGTTTTTTCCAATTGGTTGCATCCTATTGACAATGCTGAACTGGTTCGAATTGGCGATGTTCAATTAGATTTCGACAATTGAAACCAATCGACTTTTTCTAACTAGGAGTCCGAAATCACAGATAGGATTCCCCAATGGTTCTAATTGTTGATAACTAATTAGAACCAATTGACTTTTTCTAACTAGGAGTCCGAAATCACAGAAAGGATTCCCCATTGGTTCTAATTGTCGACAACTAATTGGAACCAATTGACTTTTTCTAACTAGGAGTCCGAAATCACAGATAGGATTCCTCATTGGTTCTAATTGTCAATAACTAATTGGACCCAATGGTTATTTTTAACTGGGAAGTCTTTGAAGAGACCACGTCCTCAGAGATCCGTCGTAGCACTCTCCGAGAGGCCGACATCACGCTGGAAAACTCATGAGCATCAGCCGTAACATCAAGAACGCTGAGCATCAAGCTGCTAGCATAAAACAGCCACGACGACGGTACCAGTTCAGAAGCTGTCAACCAAGAAATCAAGATGCAGCAGCATTGCCCCAAAGAATTTCTCCAAGCACAAGAAAGCAGACAAGTGTTTGTGCTGTGGTGGAGTTTGGCCCCACAAGAGTTGGAAGACCAGCTGCCCAGCCTGGGGAGCCAAGTGCCAAAAAAAAAATCACTTTGCCAAGATGTGCAGACGTAGTGCAGCACTATAAGACCGTATATGCTCCCTGGCCTTGTCAACCACACCCAGACAGAAACTAATGCATGTATCTATACGAGAGCCAAACGGAACTGGTGTTCATTAATGTAAGAGCCGTGGAAAACGTATCAACGAGGTTCTACTGTAACTTGTTTTTCGGTAGTGTGTATAGTTCTGTAGGTACAGGGTTTTAAAGGGGTCATGAAACACTTTTCCAACTTTTTCCTGTTTAGCTTTCCTCCTCAACTCATAAATCGCGCATTCCACCAAACAGTTAAAGAAAAGGAAAGGGGGCCTCTTGCTCGCACTCTCGTTTGTGTAATCCGGACACATACATTCTCCCCCTAGAAGATTAGCCCGTCGCTCAAAATGCAGAAAAAAGTTGCTTTCACCACCCCGTTCATTCCGAAGCTGACAGTGCTGTTGAAGCTACGTGCTCGTTGGGCCAGCCACACTTGCCACGTGAGCGTGGCAAATGTGGCTGCAGAGAATGAAGTCAGGTGATGAAAGGGAGGCGGCTGATTGGTCCGGCAAGCGCGTAGCTTCCACCAGAATGTCAGCTTAGGGGTGAAGGGAATAAGTGAGGTCCGGTTGCGTGCGACGTCAATTTGGACCCGATGACGCACTTTTGGGACCGCGGATGTATCACAGTGAAAAGGCAGAGAGGTTGCGAAGGGGAGGGGGTACGAAATAGTCCGCTCTGTTTTCAAATTTTCACACTGAAAGTCAGGCTTTTGACTTTCTACCTTTTTTCTTTTGGTCCACTGAACGATGTGCTATTAGTAAAATCCCAATCTAAAATGATTTATCCCAACCCAAAAATTGTTTCATGGGCCCTTTAAAGTTCAATTTCGGCGACACGGCCAAACCAAAGCTCAAGCAGCTTGAGTATGTCAGCTCATCGAGAGCATGACATAATCTTTGTCTTATGCTGCCGTAATATGCATGACTAAGAAGCCGGCTTGATTACACGAGGGCTTTCAAAATAAATGGTAAGCTGTGCATTTTTGAAATTTTTTTATCTCTCCACTTTTTATATAAGCAACCAAATGTAGTAAATGAATGTTAGTGTGTATTTATAAAATTGCCGGTCGAAAAGCGAATTTGAGTGCTATGAATATGTAATTAGACAAGTTTTCCATTCTTCAACACTTCTCCGTATGTGTTCCGGACTTGTGCACTATGCATAGTACGCAAGTGCGGAGCACCTACGGAGACGTGTTGAAGTAAACGAAACTCGTGCAATATCAAGTCAGCTCTCCATATCAAGCCACAGAAGCTCTTACTAACATGCACAGAAATGCACCATCGTTCTAACTTTGTCCGCTTGTGATGGGATCTGTATTCCATCCTTGTTCTTTGCCCGCGAGCAAGAAACAAATATTGTGATACAGCTTGCTGCAAGGCCTTGAATGCATCTTATTATTCATAGCAGTTGAACTCACTTTTCGACCGGCAACCCTATAAATGCACACTAACATTTAATACATTTGGTATATATTTACAAAGTGGAGCGGTAAAAAAAAGTGTACAGCATATTTCTTGTTTTGAATTTCCTTGTCCGACTGAGCCAGCCGTGTAAGCTGTGTGTACCGAGGGGGAGTGGGACAAAGATTACGTTGTGCCATTGACGCGCAGCTGACTATCAGTGTTGCTAACGTGATCGAGCCACTAGTTTTGGTTTCGCCATGCCATCGAAGCGAAACTTTAAGATGCGATATTTACAAAACTATACATACTAGCAAAAATAACAATTATCTCGTGATTCATGGTCGCGACCTAGTTAAAAATAATCATAAAACGAAAAATGCAAAAAACTGAGTGGATTTGCCCTTTAACTATTTCTTTACGATGGGACAAATGCCCGGTTCTTGTGGGATTTGGTTAATATTTTTTATGATATATGTATGTACTTTTGAACGGTGAAAGTTTCAAAATAGAGACTTTATTTAAAACATAAAAATTAATTCATCAAACACAAAACTTTAGTAAAAAAAGTGAAATACTCCAGGTAAAGATATATCTTGAAAGAAAAAAAAAAAAAAATCTAAATCTACAAAATGTTTCCTACCTCAAAAACAAAAGGCTCTGCAAAAATTAGTTCTAAATAAAACAAGTTATGCGCCATAAAAAAGTAATTCAACCCTCGTGACTGAAGTGCCACTGGGAGTAGTTTCTCATAGTAGTAAAGCAGAAGTGCACAAGACAAGTTTTGTGGAAAATATTTGTTTTGTGCTCTACTTTGTTTTCGTACAACTTCTCGCAGTTCCGAGTACGCAAAAACGAACGGGCATATGACAACGAAACCTGCTGTCCTTTCGGGTTGTTTTTGTCAATTGCAACTTAAATCTAATGATCTCTCACAACTTAAATCTAATGATCTGACGCCATACTAGGCTATCTGACTAAAAAAAAAAAAATGGAAGATGCAACAGAGTTGAGAGAATTGCCATGGTTGCGAGCGCGTGGCCCTGGCTTTCATCAACGTCGGCGTGTCATCGGTTTCACGATGGGCTTAAAAATTGATGTTAAGTGAAGAAACAACCAAAATAGAAACTGATACTACAGTCTCTGAACTGCCTACCCATCACACAATGTGCCCAGGAAGCTTCGCGGGAGCTTTAAAATCGGTCTCCGTGCCCGTCCGTCACAGGTGATTGATGCTCTATGGGCGTGGTACGGAAAGAGCTAAGAGTATGCCAAGGTATTTTAACAATGAAATCTAAAAGCAATTCTAACCAAATAGTGTTGACCTATCAGCTCATACATAATACCAGAAACCATCAAGCTAACCCCACTTAAACCCTGCATCCACTGCTTTTCTCAGCACCCAGCACAAAGTGGTGAAGCTTGTCATGTAGCAATGGGAAAACAGAGAATTGATGCAATCATTAAACTAGCTCAATGGGCGAAAGGCACACAATTAAAATCTCTGAACACTATGTGAAATGAAACTAGCAGAGTTGGGCAAATTGAGCTAATAAGCACAGGGGATATGTGCGCTTGATAGAGATTGTGGAAAAACAAACAGGCCACTGCTAAAGCCTGAGCATCTCTTAAGTCTACTTAAAGGACGACGAACAGCAGGAAGGAAGAAACTGCCCCTTGATTTTTCCTTTCCACCTAAAAGAAAAGGGGAGTCTTCCTCACTGCAAAGGACATGAGCTTCCAAACCTCGCTCCCTTTGGGCAAGGGGAAGGGAAGAGTGAAAAAAAGAAGAAATAAAAGGACACTGAGGGGGAGGGTCCTCTTCCCGGCAAAAGGAACTTAATCATGCCCGCCCAAGCAAGACATGCTGTGCAGCTGGCGTAGGAGGCAAATAAGTTAAAAAAAGGGGAGCGGAGCAAAGGGAAGAGAGTGGCAAGAGCTGAACGGTTCACTGTTCGGTTGGCAGTGTTTGGAAGTAATAGGCTCGAGTGCAAATGCAAGAAACGGAATTACCAAGTGTCTCTTCGGGGGCTCAACTGTACAATTATTTCTCCTTGTTTGCCATTAGCATACCCATCTCAATATGCCAACAGTGATGGCATGTTTTACTATTTTTGCGGCTCACTGGCCAAGCGTGTCGATTACCAACACCATCGATGGTAGTGCCACAAGCAGCTGCACATTTGCAAAGATTGGGCAAATATAATAGATCAGCGATAAAGTTTATGAAAGAGTATAATTAAAAGTTCAGAACATTCCTACATAGCATGTTTGTATAAAATACTTGGCTGTGCATTTACAGGTTTCGCTTTACATGCACAGTTCTGAAAATTATAAGTTAAAACAGCTGAGCAATGATTCAGAGATGCTGGCGATCCCGCCATGGGACGAGAAGGTGAATTATCTTCGAGAAAGTGCCGACAAGCGGATGAGAGTGTGGAAACAGTGCAGTCTGATAGCCGTGTCCCATGAACTACAGTTCAGCAGTGTCAATAATACATATCCAGGTAACAGTAAGCTAGCCCGCTTCGCTAGTATAGACTAGCAAAGAAGGCAGAGGTAGGACATATTGATACCCCTTTCTGAACACAGAAAGGGAGGGAAGTGAGCTGACAGCACACTCATTTGTGTTTTCTTTTTCACGTCTTGTCATGCCAAAGATTGTTTTCTTTACATCGCTCAGCTGCCC